CGTAACCAGTAGTCGCATAGCTTTCCGTGAAACACGTTCAATGCAAATACCCAGTGACACAAAATAATCTAGCGCTCTAGGGAGCCGCACTTGACCATCTTATCTCCGTACTTGGTTCTGGAGCGCGGGACCATCCAGACATCGGCATGACAAATGGAATACAAAAGATTTTTATGTGACGAGAGGCAAGCGAAAGAAAACTGTACCTGTGTCACGTAGAGCTGTTTTGTATGTTAGGGCAAGTTAATAAGCGTAAAAGTTTGTTATTTCAGTAATTCGGATCTGTAGCAACTAGCCATGTAATCTGTGATGTGAATAATTTTAGCACGACACAGGGACGTCCCATCTGCGAAGCGTTTCCCCTGCCTTCTTCTCCCAACCGTGAACTGAAATAATTTATTATTTGATGCTCCAATAAATTTTATTTTTTTGCATGAAAAAGTTAGTTTTGTTGTATTTCTATCTTCCATTAATTTTTATCTATTGAAATGACGATGGATGCTTGGATTTCAACGCCGTTAGGAATGGCCAATAAATTGAGTTAAATTTGTTAAAACGAGCAAGTTTACCATTCGCGAAGAGCCGCCTGACGCTGAGTCGCTCGATGTTTATTTCGTAACCTTCCGTTATATAATAGGCGACTCTAACTTTACGACAAACGTCAGTGCCGGCGCCGTTTTCAATGAAAGCAAACTCGCACAACATCTATCTTTTTTTAATTTCTTTCTTTGAAACCTTCCGGCTCTCTAGATGTTTGAAGAACAAGATCGCTGTTTCATTGCTGAGAGAGTTCGGTGGAGGCACGCGGAAGCATGTGCGGCATGGCCATCCCATATCAGGAGTAGCGTTCGCTTCAATCAAGCCATCTCGATGGACACGCTCAGGCATAGTCAAGAGGAGATGGAGCTAGAAAGAAACGAAACCCTGGGAAACTCTCGGACGAAGGACTTTAGCTGATTCTAAAATCTAACAGATCACTTTCTTCGAAAACACGGGCAACGATGGCATTCTCGCAGACGCTCGCTTATCAGAACACTCTACTAACTCTACAGAAAGCCCCTCAGTTGCGAATCAGAAGTTATTATCGCTGCGCACTGCTTAAATAAGGAGGGGCCTCAACTAGAACTGTAAATTGCGAAATTGACATGAGCGTGATTTGTGCGACGCACCGAACGTCAGCGAAGCGTATGAGCGGGCTGCTGAAACGGCGCGTACGAAGGAAGAATAGACGAGGTAACCCCAAATGAACTCAACACAGCCCAAACGCTTCTGGCGGATGAATTAAACACAATAAAACAATCATTCGTTGGAGGAAACGGAGAGCCAAGCATACGGGCCTAGGTCTCCGGCGTCGGTTGGGCTCAAAGATGGCGAAATGGGCGCGCCATTGCATTCGCGTGACGTGTCAGTGACGTATAGTTGACGAGCTGTCAACGACGCCATGCCAGCAGGCCAAACACTCCCCTACATATGGCTCTGGGGCAACCCTTCAGCCAGCGCCAAAAATACGCGCGGTGGCCTCTCCGAAACGCAGCAACAAACCGCAACAGAGAAAAAAACGATAGGAGGCTACCGGCGCGTGGAGAAACTGGAGAGAAGCGGAATTGGAGAGGGTCGATGCAACATGTTCTCCTTTCTGTAAAAAAAGAAACAACAACAACAAAGGAGCGCGTTCGGGTTTCCGGATTTTACCGCTGGGGCATGATTCGGCGCTGCCCGAGAAAGCTCCTGCGTGCGCCCTCTTCTCTGATCTCCTTTCCCTTCGACAGGGGCTATGTTCTTTCGCGATTTGACAGACTTTCTAGAATAAAAGAGGCTACGCCTCAACCAACGACGGCAAGGGCTTGGCTGCCTCGTACGCGCGTTCCCTGCGTAAGTCTTTTTTTTTTTTTTTTTTTCTTGCAGCGTTTTGATTAGCGTGCCCCTCCTGACGCTTGAATTCGCTAAAGACGTTTTTCGGAAAACTTGCAGCATAAAACGTAACACGAAAACACTTTTCAAACGTCATTTTCTTATCTCTTTTTCCCCCTTATTCTACACACCTTCAACGATATCGCAAAAATTCGTCCTTCTGCAGGGCGATAGAAGTTAATAGCGTAAAAGAAAAAAAAAATGTTATACTCGTAGACACCACTAGAAACAAAAAGTAGAAGAGGAAAAAAAAAACGACTTCCCCCGATGCACCACCAGCGATTCGAGAGAAGACTACAAAGAAAACGTGAAAATTAAATGGGGAGAGGCGGAAAGTTCCCCCCAGCAAGGGATCAGACGCAGCAGACATCAGGCGTTCACAAATCGCGCTCGCGCAGTTAATGAGCTTCTATAACGAAATCCCGAGGACTCCCCAGGACCCTGCCTGTTCGGACGCGGGCCAAGACCTCTACGGATGGCCAAATGAACGGTTCGTAATTGCCTTGCAGGATTGGCCGGGACGGCGCTGGGCGTTCCTGCAGCTTTTTTGTCCTTTTCTTTTGCGCGTATGTGTTTCTTCTCCGCACTTCTCCCTCTACAATGGCTGTTGGGTTCGCAGTAATTGTGACTTGGCGATAAAAGCGAGGCGATTGGAGAAAGCTGTCCCCCGCGGGGGGATCGGCCGGTATATCCCCCATTAAGTCCTAAGCTGATAGTGCCGTGGAAGCTACGTGCTCGTTGGACCAGTCATACGTGTATCCTTCGTCACGTGGTCCCGTTCCTCCTCCCACGCCCACTTACAGGGAGCGGAGTCAGGTGATGAAAGGAAAACGGTTGATTGGTTCGGCGAGTGCATAACCCTCACCGGACTGTCAACTTTGCGGTAAGGTAAACACTATAGTGAGTTCTTTCGTTGCCACTGACTTCCCCCCTCTGCCCACTCCCACAGCTTGAGTCGCTGAAACTTCGTGGGGAAAAAAAGTTCCTTCAAGGTTTTGGGTACAAGGCGATTCCTTTCAAATTTACGTGGCGCCAACGTGCGCTGCAGCCAACTTCTAATTTTAGCGGAAGTTTGTTTATATTACGGTAGCTGAGTCTCGTGCTGCTGAGCGCGTGTTTATGTGACGTCAAATAGCTCTTCGTTTCCCCTTAAGTCCTGGCGCAGCCGACGCTACGAGCTGATCGGACCAATCAGATCGTCAAAAGCACACCAACATGGTGTCGTCATATTTCTGTACTTCTTCTATCATCGCTGAACCAATCATAAAGAAAAAAAAAGACCTAGTGACTAGCCCTTTTTGATGCTGCTTGATTTTTCCCATTACCTCGTAGCGTGGGTTACGTCTCAAGTTAAGCGGAAACGAAGTATGGACAGTTTTACTGCTGGATCCTCTACGTCATCTATTGAAGGTCCTCGCGGGTCACACATTGGGGCACGAGGACTCTGTCAAACTTTTGCGGGCCGGGACTCGTGTCCTGGCCGGTGGAACACGAGTTCAAGCCAAACGCTGAACTAGAAATAGTGCCCAATATGTTCTCCGCGCTCGCCCTCGCAAGGTGACGTATGACTTTCAGGACTACGATTTTCCTCTACATGGAGGGAAACTGAGGTCAAAGAGGAGATCAGAGCTCGGAGGGGGGGGGGGGGGGGGGGGGACGTCAGAGCGTGAAGGTCTTATTGCAATAATTAGTGGGTAGACGCAAAGGCTAGCTGCCCTTCTTTTTACCCACTGGCTCCCTCCAATCAGAGCAAGCATAAGCGTCGTCGGCTCTCGCGCAGTGTTTTGCGTTTAAACGACGGACGCTTACATTCGGCGTTCGAACGTGTTCGAACACTTGGTTGAGATAAAGGCAGTGAGCGCCCTGCGTCTGCCCACAAAACCCTCCCAATCAGAGCTCGGCCTCACGCACGCAATTATTGCCCTTCGCCATGTTTTCGCTGCGCGTGCGCGCTCAAGGCTCGTCGGACACCCACGCATCTTCGAAGGTAGATATCTCGATCTTGGAGTCGGGACCCTCGAAACTCCTTCCAACCACTGTCACCCTGTCGGTGACTGTAGGTGGTGTTTGCTAATGGCGAGTTAGTTCAGTACCTCTGCAAAGCGCGCTCTACATTGCCAAGATTATTTGTCGTTCTGGGCGGGCGATAAGGGAGAGCTCGCTCTGTGCACGAGTAGTGAAGAATTGGTCTAAATATGGGGGGGGGGGGGGGGGGGGGGGCGGGGTGTCCGCCAAATTTAACTTTACCGTTTTTTTTTAGAATGCAACAGCACCTGGAGATGCAGCCTTACCCTCCGATGAACCTTATTGTGTCGGCAGGTGTAGCGCGCTTAGGTAAACGTGTACAGCCCAGTGCCAATATCCTCTATTCACCTTCTCTTTTTGGAACCACTGTCTCCCCCATCCGTGCGTTCTTTCTCTGTGATGGAAGGAAAGCATCTTCGCACGAGCAGTCTTTTCCCGGATTTAACGATGCAACAACAACAATAACCTCGCGGAGCTTCTTGAAACAAGCCTTTTAGTATTTCAAATCTTACCCTTGTTATAAAGTATTGGTTACAGTTTGGATATTTGAGCAAGGGCATCCGGTTGGGGTGTAGTAGACTGAAACAGTTCACTGAATAACGTTTATGCTAATATATTTCTTGTTTTGCATTTTGAAGGATTTCATGGTAAACATTCCCTCGCAAACCAAATTATCATAGACAAAAAGCAAAAAACTTTTGAAGGTAAGTCGTTCGGGGAACATATCTTAAATTTTTCCATTGCCGTTTCCGGAAATATTTCGGACACATCAATATGTTCTTACGTCATGGTTGCATTCGGTGCAATGTTCAAACGTCGAAGAAAACTTATTTTTATGCCTTTTTTATACAACCATGCCATGAATGATGGATTATTTTCGTGGACCTTCACGCTGTGAGAAAAATACGTTAATCTGAAAGTTGTCATCCGTGTTTTATTTCCGCAATTTCTGAGAAACAAAACCTACGCTCGGAGTTGTCAGAACGTCAGCACCCAATATATACCACAAGAAAGAAAAGCGAAACTCACTGTACATCACTTTGACGACAAGAGTGCGTACTTACCGAATGTTTGAAAGCGTCCCCGAAGGTAAGAAAAGCGCTCGCTGAAGACCGGATACCAGTTTGTCTCCATCCTCTGGGGTCAGAGCTCTAAATAAAAGAGTCAAAAACAATAAAACGTTGAGAAAAATTGTCCAAACACACGTTCAGCTATTTAGCTCAATGTAAGAGGGGCATCCCAATGTTCACGGACAAATAGAACGCCTCATCGTTTCCATTTTGAAGCTTGTTATTATTTTACAAATTTCTACTTTATTTCATAGGATTGCGAGCCTTATAACTTCTGCCATATATAATTTAAAAAAAAAAATATTTGTGTGACGCTGCGGGAACGTTTAGTGACTCCACAAATTTTTTAAATTTATGCGTAATTGCATATCAGTTCACTAGATTTTTTGGGTCTAAATTTCAGACTCTTATACTGCAACATCTTTAAAACTCAAGAGTAGGAACGAAAACTGGATAAAATACACAGACCTTTTTGACCAGGCTATGTATTTGCACTGATAGAGCTTTTGTAAACAATAAAACCGTAAGAAAAAAATAAAGACGCCCATTTTTTGGTCAGAGCAATTTGTTTTTGTTTAAAGATTTAAATTCACTATGCTTTATATCACATTATGTATCCCCATTTTATATTGTAAATTACTCGTATATTTTTAGTTTTCTATTTCGTTTTGTGTAGACGCAAGGAGAAAGAAAAAAAAAACTGCGGTTGTCCCAGCTAGTTTGGACTGTCGTCCAGCAAGCGCGAGGAAATGTCAATACCCATCGTTCAGCGCCAATCACGCCTCCTACCTCCATACCTGTGGTGCCACGAGTTCCCTTTATCAAACATTGAAAGTGAATCTGGTGTGGCATATTTACGCTCCCGCGAGACCACTCGGCTATCCATTTCCAACTCGTCCGCACAGTTCTACATCCGACGACCTCGGGAAACAGGCATAAAAAATGCGGGTCCTTTCAGATCAAGAGAACCCCGTTGCAAGTTTGATAGACTCTGAAACCCGCAAGTCACGAGAACACATCAAAGAAGCCGCCCGCCCGCTCGCTCGCCATCCGTCGGTGGAGACGACGACGACGACCAATAGCTTCGTCTTAGAAACCTCACTGTAAATTTCATACTACGGACGAGCGCTGGGATAAGTGTCGCGGGTCAGCGCGGAGCTATACCGAGCCGCCGTCGTTGTCCCAGTCCACTTCGGCTGATGGGAAATGGATCAGATCGAAGGCAAGAGCACCGCGTCTGGAGCCTGTCCGTCGAGCGAAACCCTTGACCCGATGGGTGGCTGGGCGCTGCCCGGAGAAGGCCTTGAATCATTGAGGCCGCAGGTTATGAACGGCATTTTCCCGATGCCTTTTCGGAAACGGGGCTCACCAAATTATGAATCGGTCCACGGCGCAGGAACGTCGGTTTCCGCGGTGTGTGTGTGTGTAAGACTCGAGCGTTTGTTAAAGAGTGAGCCGCGAGTCGGGGAGATTCTTTCTGGTACAAATCTTCGGTGGTCGTTGGTTTTTATTCGGAAACGTATGATACGTATGGGGTAAAAAAAAAAAAAAGGAAAGATCAACTTCGCCTGGCAGGGCGCAATCACTCGTTTACTCGGCTTGCAAGACAGTGCGAAAAAACAATACCTAAACAATAGACCGTTCCATTAGGGTCATAGCAGAGAGGGTAAAAGCAAAAAAAAGGCCCTCCCCCTCTCATCCGGATGTCGTCCGCTCCGCCGAGTGGGCTGTACCTAGCATCCGGCTGGCGTACAAACTCTGTTTCAAATCGCGTCATTTTGGAAATTTCAAGCAGTGCAGATGCACAAATTTGGGTATGACAGTTATCGTATAATACTATGCTAGATAAAAAGACTAACAGGGTCCAATTGCGCTGTAACCTGCGTGCAAATAAAAAAATAATAGGGAAAATTGTGTCAGATTGGGCCGGTCTCTCCGGCGAAAAGTAAATCAGGTTGCTGTATCTTTTTTACTTTACGAAGTTTGTACTGGTGTAGGCCTTTAGCGACCATGAGTGGAAGTCTCAAATAATAAATAAAAACGTGCTCTCCTGCCGCAATACACGCAGTAGTTGAGGGTAGTACTGCCGGCTGACTCAACTGCTATATAAGTAGCGTAAAAAAAGATATGCTAGTTGATCATTTACCGAAATAGAACAGCAAAGGGCTATAGGCTGATTTTGGAGAAGCCATAACTATTCTAAGAACGCGAATCACTTCAAAACGGCAGCCACGAGCGAGAGTTCGATGTTCCGTACAGCCCACCAATACAGCCCAAAGATGGAGAATGGCAACCTCCCGGTTTGTCGTCTGCTAGCGGAGTCGGGCGCTTGCCCTCTCTCTCGTTTTACCCCACCGAACCCGATGAATTTCCCGGATGTATGGAGAGGGCGCTGCTGTCAAACAAAATGGTGCCGCACAGAGAGCGCTAAATGACATGGTCTATAGGAAAGAAAAACCAAGCATTATCATCGTAGTATGATTAAAACAAAACAAAAATTATTCGCGCTTCTTAACAAGAAAATAGAGAAGTACGAGTAGACGCTAGAAATGGGGAAGGACGAGTACACGCGAGTATATTGAATTTATCTTTTTACTTTTTTGAGTAAGGACAACAACATAGGGCGAAAGCCCGAACTGCGATTGGGGTCCGAAAAATGTAGTTGCGCCGCCTCTCCGGCTTCCTCCAACATGTGAGTCGCGCAGAAAGCAGAAGAGGTAGCGCCATTCCCCTCCCAACCGCCAACCGTAGTTTGATCTTGCGGCGCTACGTGCGGTGACCCTCCGCGTACACAAAACACCTCTTTCTTTTTTTTTTTTTTTTTAAGTTCTGTGAAGTGCGTCATTTCCTTGGGTCGCGTTTCGCAGCCAACATGCATTGGACGCACGTGGCACTCCCTAGTCCCTATTGACGCCGCGCTATGCTACTCGCTATTGTTCTCGTTTTTGTAACGCCGAATTAGAGCACAGCTCTCGAAAGGAGGAGGGGGTACTGAGCGGAGGGTATACCCCTCCTCCTCATTCGTCCCCTCCCCTCCTCCTTCTTTCCTCTTGTGCTCCTCCCCTCGTCCTCTGCTTCTCCTCCTGCTCCTCTCTTGAGGTATTCCGATCTTGCGATATACCGTGCTGAACAATCTTGCAAAAAAACATATATATATATATATATATATATATATTGTGAGGACAAGATGAGGAGTTCCGGGGACCGATTTATTGAGCGACTGCTCTCGGGAAAATCCAAGCACGGACGCCCGTGCTCGAGGCGATCAGAGAAAGAGAAAGTGAATATAGAATAATTGGGAACGGCAGTGATGATGATCATAATGAAGATGAAGTGGGTGTTGTTCATGAGCTTCCTCACACGTTCCCCCCTAGCGGTTGAGATATGGCCTCCTGGCCATTTGGTTTTAGAGGTAGGGTGCGTCAGCGGGGAGTGAATGGTTTGAGCCGTCCAACATGAAGAACTTCGTGGGCGCGACGTCTGCGATCCGAGTGAAGCTGTTCTGGCTGGACGAGATAGTTTACCGGGGATGTCTGCGCGAGCACTCTGTAGGGGCCAATGTAGTGTGGGAGAAATTTTTCGCAAAGGCCTGGTTGGCGTGTAGGCAACGAGACCATGACGAGGTCTCCTGGCTGAAAGACGGTAGTTTTGTGTCTGGAATCGTAAGATTGTTTACGGTGCCGTTGATTTTCATTGGTTCGAAGTTGTGCAAGGTGACGTGTGTCTTCTGTATGTCGTAACTGGGCATTCAAGGCATTGCTGTGTTGCGCTATGGGTGGAGGAGGGAATATGGTATCAAGAGTAGACGTAGGCTCTCTTCCATATGTCAGGTAAAAAGGGGAGTAGCCAGTCGTACTCTGCGTAGAGGTATTGTACGCGTATGTAACAAGTGGTAATATAACATCCCAGTTCGTGTGTTCAGGAGAAACGTACATAGAAATCATTGCTGCAAGGGTACGGTGAAAACGTTCTGTAAGTCCGTTTGTCTGTGGATGGTAAGATGAGGTGCTTTTGTGGACAACATTGTATGCAGAGAGCACTTCTTCCAGCACATGAGAAAGAAAGGCTCGACCCTTGTCGCTGAGCAGAACACGAGGCGACCCGTGGCGAAGGAGCAGGTTTTGAATGCAAAAATTGGCTACTTCCGTTGCGTTGCCGGTGGGGATAGCCGCCGTTTCTGAGAAACGAGTGAGGTGGTCCACAGCGGTGACAACCCACCGGTTTCCATGAGCGGTGATAGGCAATGGTCCAAATAAGTCGATGCCTACTGTGTCGAAGGGTCGTGAAGGGCAAGGTACGGGTTGCAATTTTCCAGAAGGTCGTGTGGTGCGATGTTTGTGCTGTTGACATAAAATGCACGATTTTATGTACTTGGCAATAGAAGAGTAGAGACTAGGCCAAAGGAAACGTTGCCGAATACGGGAATATGTTTTGAATAATCCGAGGTGTCCTGCGGTTGGATCATCATGCAGCGAGTGTAGTATCGCGAGACGTAATGAGCGTGGCACCACGAGCACCCAGCGATCACCATCGGGACTGTAACTCTGACGGTACAACATGTTGTTGTGAAGCCGGAAGTGGCGTTGCTGGCGTCTGGAACGGCTGTTGGTGTGCTCTGACGTTCCGTTCATTTTATCAATAAGTTTTCGAATTTCCGGATCTCTGCGCTGTTCCTGCTGTATGGTGGTTACGTCAAGGTTGAAATCCGCGGGTGCGTTTGGCTCGATGTTAAGAAGAGCAAGAGGAGTTTTAATAACGGGGCATCGAGATAGAGCGTCCGCATCGCTGTGTGTGCGGCCAGACTAATAGGTTACGGAAAAGTCATATTCCTGAGGACGTAGGGTCCACCTGCCAAGCCGACCGGATAAGTTCTTAACTGTGGCAAGCCAGCATAACGCATTATGATCTTTGACGACGTTAGAATGTCGGCCGTAGAGATAAGGCCGAAATTTTCCAATCGCCCACACGACAGCGAGGCATTTGTTTTCCGTGATGGTGTAGTTGGACTCAGCTTTGCTTAGAGAGAGACTTGCGTAGGCGATAACGTGTTCGATGGTACCTGGCCCTCGTTGTAGGAGAAC